CATCGGATGTTCAGTTAAAAAATAATGATAATTTATGAAAGCATGTATTGTGTACATTCACTATAAGGGTGTGACAATATATTATACATCGAATAGTAATAATAATAGTAATAATTGTATTCAAATTTATATCATATTCACCGTGCAACTGTACTTTTTAAAGCTTTTATTCATCTAGTTAAGCACTTAGTTTTAATAAAAAAAAAACCCACCAAAAATTGTCTTCTTTTTCTCCTTTGGCTTTGTCCCAACCATGATTTAAATATACCAAGTTATTGCATACCCCTGTTCATAGAAATTTCGAAGATAAAAATAAAACGATAGCATAAGGGTTAACCAATCAAAATAGTTTATTTTATAAAGATATTGTGTATATATTTATTAAAAAAGCAATAATGTACCCTTACGCTGCTATTTTATGAACTAATAATATAATAAAGTGGGGATATGCATAAACCTTGCCATAATCCCAACGTTTGGGATCGGCCACCCTTGTTCTAAACTTCCACTTAACGCCATCTCCCACATGATCATTCCCAATCGGATCCAATCACCTCTTTTTCAGTCTTCCTCTTTCTTCCTACGTATAATTTTATTACCTTCAATTCTTACTGCTTTCGAAAAAAAAAACAATTTCAAATTAAATTATAAATTTAATGAAAGCGGTTAATGAAATTGGACTGTCGTTCAAAAGCGAAGACTTCCGGGATACCGAGATATATGTGTGGGTGGACAAAATAATTAAGAAGTATATCCTTAGTCCTAATAGCACTTCTCTTCCGGTTTAGTCGTTTCCACGTTGCCCGTTTCCGACCTTGCTCGCTGTGATTGTCGCCACAAGGCCTATTTTCTGATTTATGTCGACTACCGAAAACACAGTTTAGTCATCTCCGTTTGGTCTATCCCTCACTGTCCTTTATAACTACACGCATTTATGCATAATCTTGTTATATTATTTATACACAAATGCACATTTTCCGCGCTCTTAAGGTTCAACTACCATATTATAATATGGAAAATAAAAATCAACTGTTTATTTAACGATATTATTTCTGTTCTTTCTTTTTTCCTAATATCGCGGACATTCGACTGGAAGTGTTTCTGTATAGGCCACTTTATCTTTAAAGCTTCCTCGTTTTGCAATATCTTTGAATCTTGTGGTCCGGTTTACTCCATTTTTTACACCATAATAAAGATAACATTTTCATGGAAAATAACTTTTTTTGATAAAAATGAATTTCTCTGGTTGTTATTATAAGCCAAGATCAATACAATGTTGTTTTTTAATTAAAAAAACATGTGTATACATAAATATTTAAGTTAAAATTGAGGTTTCTAATTAGGATTTTTTTTTTTTTGTAAAGAGTCTTTTAACCAGTCGAATCTGCTGTCCTAATATAATTTGATGTCGTGGCTACTTGTATACAAATCGACCACAATCAATATCGACAATATAACAAATGATTAAACATTACTTAAGAGCATAATTAACCTAATTTTAAAACCTAGATTTTACACCACCCGTTTCAAAACAAAACTTCTCAATATATTAAATGCATAGTACATATCAAGTATGTATAAAATGTATAAAATACATAATAATGATAAATATTATTCAAACATTTTTAAATAAGAGACGTTGGTCTTCAAAAGAATTTATTGTAGAACATAAAAAAATTTGCCATCAGCAGCCCTTCTATGCCATCTATACCTTCTTGGCCATATGTTGTGTTAGCTCTGGCTACCCGTTGTGTTTTCATTAAATACATTATATTTAAAATGCTTTAACACATTAATATTTTTTCAATTATTTTATAAGCTAAACAAATAAAGTTAAATTATGTAATTAAATAAAATATCTAGGAGTATGGCTCAAGTTAAGATACCTACATATATTTATTTACAGTTTACTAATCGTATAAACGTTACTACTAAATAGTAAAAATTTGTAAGTGTACATAACTATGCATTAAAACGATTATAACATAGTCATTTTTCATGAATTTGGGAATAAGCCACATCAAGTAGATCCGTTTAAGGTGCAACAAATGTATCAATCATTAGTTTAATATTGAATATTTTTTTTTTAATCTAATTAATTTATATTAAAAAAAAAACAATTTTTTAAGGTCGGTAAACTTCTGTTCATTTTTTATTTGCCGTTTAAAATCCTATTTCTACTTCCGTTTGTAAACTACACCATTACTTATGGCCCGCGTTTCATTACTTTCCTCGTCTCGGTGATGTTTTTTTTGCTCGAGTGGAAAAATGAAATAAAAAACAGCAGTTGAACATAATGAAGACAGAAATATTAAATAAAAACAAACGGTTACATAATGTTATCTTAGCTTCGATGCGAATTTTCCCAAGAAAATATCAAATTATTTTTAAAAAACATCTCGAAGATGGGTTTTATTTCACTGAATTCAATATGGAATAATGTCTGCGATGATTCAATTCGGCAAACTTTTTTTATTTTGCTTCCACCTAGCCATTGAACTTATCATACCCCGTGACCTCAGTATTAGTCTCTACAAGGTAATCCATCTAACGTGAGATAATACATTTCTTAGAAAATAATTATAATTTTGTAGTTTTTATTTTTGTAAATATTTCATCTATGTTTTAATAATATTTTGTAAGATCACATAATTTTTAAAAAATTCAAGAGCGTTACCAATATTTGAAACTCAATGATAACGTATTTACTAATCAACTGTGTATAAAAGAAATAATTTCATGAATATTTTGACTGACCAAAAACAACTTTTGAATAATTATCTTTAAAGTTATTAAAGTTTAAAATTTAGCACGAGTATTATTCAACCGCACTCCTCCCGTTCTAAATTGTTCAAAACTAGTCAACGATCAGTTAACATTTTCAGCAAATTATTCAAATTATTTAATAGGTAATTTAAAATAGGTATACGTTACCATTAAAGTTGATACTACTATACTACTAAAAAGATAAATATTTGGTGGTTTTGTAATAATGTAAAATAATAACTTTTGTAGTAGGCAAAAATGTTTTCAAAACTAAAATTGCAAAATTATAATTATTTCCCGAGAAAATGAGTGTCTTATGTTAAATGGATCACCCTATATATTATGAGCATTTCCTAAAGCCGACTGTGTCTAAGCCAACGTATCTACCCCGTCACCGCCAATGGGATTTTTATTTTATTTTCGTCATCATTATGGTTGCGTCATATTTAGTTTCAAGTAATCTCTTTAGATATATTATATATAAAATCCGTAGAGTACATGGGAGTGTTCTACTTACATTGTATTTCTCCAGCGAAACCACGGATTACCCATGACAAATTATAATTTATTTCTTTCTATTACAAGTGGAATATCGAACGACATTACTGCTTTTTATGTAAGTAATACCAATTTGTTTTGCGTATAAAACGTAACGACCACATCGTTTGCCTTAGCCCACAGACGCGGTGCACATCCATAATAGTATTATCCTTGTACTTATAATATTTGCTTACGGTTGTCGCTATATTATCTACAACAAACGCTTCTATTCATTCGTTGTATATGTCTCGGTAAACTTTCATTCCGTCTTTGTGCCACTCGGATCAATCTTACCTACCTATGATATTATAATATTATATATACTACAAATTAATTATGTCTCCTTTCTTGGACACGCCTTAACTACATTAGGGTTTGTGTCTCGTCGTCATATTTTATTCGACTACAGCTTAGATACTCACGTCGTTAAAACACCATCCGGTTGACTTAATGTTACATTATACTATATCTTAACATCTTATTTCCGCTATTATCATGTTTTTCTCATCTATCTTGTGCAACGCTCAACATTCGCTTCTATACTTCGTCATTGGTCTCGCTGCATTTTTGTAAACTCTTCTTTTTACCTAAATGGAGACTTTTTTTCACAAGGCACTCTCGCTAACCGTTTCCACCAAGATTATTCCATAAACCCTCTTTTCAGCTTGCTCTTTCATAGTATATGTATTACTTGATCTCCGTGATAGTTTTATTAGACACGTCGCTTTGTTATTCTAGATTAACCTTACTTGATTTGCATTGAGTGCACATTTTCTAAACGGATTTTAAATAAAAAAATATATGCTAATAGCAAGTGTAAAGTGCGGTGAACAATGCACGATACAGTATGTGTACATAATTTACTTATGGCATTACTATTGGGCCAGTCAACGAAACGAAGAGGAATAGGAAAACCGGAGAAGTCGTCAGAGGAAATTTAATAATCTCACGGATGAATTGGTTTTATCTGTGAAAGGTTGTTCGGACGGAAAATTGTATTTTATTGACAGGAAACATATGACTAGTATTCAGTTGCATTTTCCGTTCACGCATGTCTGTAGTTCGACGATAATAAAGCCGATGGATTATTTTAATTTTAAGAGTTCTCAGTCGACCTGTGAAGTGTTCTATTGTAGTATTATAGCACAAGGCGACCTGTTTGAATGATTACTGTTTTAAATATTGTATGGCATATCCGTATCGCGAAAATCAGTATAATGGTATGATCAGAATACGGTATAGTTCACCGAGGATGATATATTTTATTGTTGTAGAATGAACAAAGAGAAAGATATTATTATATTGACGTCATAACCTTTCCACTCGTTTAACTTGTCCGCTGGCTTACATTTTCCGTTTGTATCAAAAAGTCATTATAAAACAGTCAACCGCAGCGACAATGGGAATATATTATATTAATTTATTGCGATTAATAAACCGCAATAGCGCACCGCCCCAAGCGAATCCAAACATATTGAGAGCAAATATTATATCCGGATTTATTTGAATCAATGTCGTTCGAAATGAATAATTTAAAAAAACAAAATAACTTATAAGAAATTACCTGAATATTTGAAGTGCATAGCACTGCCATAAAGTTTAATTCGCAAGAAGTGTTGAAACAATTAAAGCTAAATTAATTTTAAAAAAATAATTATGTTTTTTATTTTAACAGTTTTGTATTTATGTTTTAGATCCATTTTTAAACTCTCAGCTTTAAAAGAGAAACCAATTCATTTACTTCTTCATTCAACGTAGATCACGTGAGTATATGTTTTTAGCTTATCATTTTATTGTTATACAAATAACAGAAAACATATTTTAAACAATTAATGATTTTGCTTTTTAAGTAGAGAGTATAGTCGTATGCAATTGTTGAAGAAAAACTCTCTTTAACTCTCGTTTATTACACCAAAAAAAAAATTAACGCATTAAATGGTTAAAGCTAAAATCCATTTCAGTCGAATTACAATTGTTTTTAATTTAATATTTCTTAGTCTAGGAGAGTTGAAATGCTAAATATACAAGTTTTGAATCACAATGATAATACGCTCACCTCATTGTACATTTATTTTGGCGAATGAAACTAAATTTTACTCTTATTTTTATTGATATGTGAATTTCCATAATGGAGTATAGTTATAATTTAATTCTGTTGGCCGAATGGCAAACAACTATCGGCTCGCTAGAAATAGTGCCATAAAATATAAAGTTTTCGACACTTAAATTTTGCAAATAATTGCAAACGTCATAAACATTTCTCTCGGCTGTCTACAAAGTGTTATTACTTCTTGAAACATGATTAATTATAAACAACGAATGCCTCCAGACAAGTTATATTAAAACAAAGTTTTAGTGACACATTATGCATTAATACTTATTTGAATTCCGTTTCGTCTGGGTTAAACTTTTAGAGCTTGTTGTTAAATTAGGTCTTGCTGTTCATCAAAATTGTGAATATTTTAACACCTTTTTATTTGAATAATAATTTGGAAAAAAAAATGTTTTCACTTTTTATTTAAAAATTTATTTATATACTTTATTTATACACTATTTTTAATTCGTTAATTTTATTCTAATAATGGCTTTTTTAAGTAAAGTAAATTCAACGAAAAATGAAAATAAGTTTGCAAGCATAGTGTTGTGGTTAGAATAAAAATATTCGTAAGGGAATTTTTTGGATAATTCAACAAAAACAGAGAGACCAAGTTGATGATTCGTAAGAGGTAAAATGGAAAACTAACACAATCCATTTAGCTGTTGTACACTGAAGTTAGCGCTCAAGGTACATACGCCTATTTATTTTAATGCTCTAAGTAATGAAATATATTACATCGGTCGGCGTGGCGTTTGTGGCAGTAATTAATTCATTCTGTTCGTTTTTTAGTGCCTCACCGACCCTCGATTAACAAAAAGTGTAATACACCATGTACAAAATTAAAATATATAACTAATACCTTTTTCTTCTTCTTCCTAAAATACCAAAACTATTGAGGTACGCAGAGTATGTGTGTAAGACATAGAGAAAGGATTTTGATACTAACAATCGATAAAAAAGTAATACAAATTAAAAATAATCGGATATCAACAGAGACGGTGCATAACAGATCAGAAGCAACAGAGAGAACAGAGAAGGAGTAGGATAAAGGTTTAGTATGTGTGTATTAGTATGTAGTATGTATTAGTATGGTATGCTATAGTAAATAATTCATAAGTAATAGATAGATGTAGAAAAGAAAGACAGACAATAGGTAAAGCTGTAAAAGATCTAGAATATTATATGTAGAACTGTCAGACGACATAAGACCGTCGATAAAATTCACATGAATTTACTTTTTTTTTCTAAACAATTTCCAATAGTATTATTTAATATACAGTACTTTATATTTTACTTTATATTACTCTATATTTTACTTTTAGATACCATAAAAAAAATAATGCCAAAAATGTTAAGGTTTTTGTTATAAGAATGAATGTATATCTAAGACCAGAGAAGAAAATAGTAGTTTACATTACAATAATAATAAAATAAAATATGGACAAAGATCTCGTCAGACGCGACGTCCTTATGAAAACTCTTAAGTCGCTAAATAACCCTTTAAATTATTTTACTAAGTAGCCGGCTGAAATATTATTTATAATGAATCCACAAAGTTTCTCATTTCACAGTTCTAAAGATATTAAAACTTATAATCGCTCTGTAAAACCAATTTCTGGGATTTATTTTCAAAAGTAGTTTAGATTTTTACGGTTAAATAAACTAAAAATTACCGAAACGAATAATTTAACAACTAAGAGAACGGGTACATTCATCGATGCAATATTTCTCCATGGTAAAATTTATAGCCAGCAAAAGTTTGAATTACTTTATTACTTATATAGCTGAAAACGAAAAGTTTTATAATACACAAGAAAATCCAATGGAGTCCTCAAATACACATCAATAAAACTGTCGATATTATTTTTACACGTATATCCTTCCCTCTTTATTCGGTAAAATGTCTGTTTTGACTGGAATATAGTAAATATAAATTATTGATACCGTTGTAAAAAAATGAGACGTTAAACTACTCCTGTGGGTCGTGGTATTTTACATATAAGTAACAGGCGTTTTATTGCCTATGTTAAATCAACAGCTTAACAACAATGGTGAATTCTATGTAATTCCATTTTGACTGGTCTGTTTACTCTGGCATTTATAAGGGGAGATCGACATTTTCAGCTTTCACTGTGTGACAAGCACAGTATTTATACAATCCGCCTAACGTCACTCCGTTTCAACATAACGGCCAAAGCGCAAAGACCGGGAAACAATCTTATAATATCGGTAGGAAACTCCATAAAAATCCCACTTTACGCTATACCTACTTACAATGTTATCGTTTATCAAGTCATTCGGGTAGAAATACATTTTTTACACTTGATTGTTTTTTTTAAGAATAAAGCTTTACTTTTTTTTAGGTAAAAAATAATGATAGACATTTTTCTATTATACATTTTAATTTAATCGATAGGAAGGCATTTTGACCAGAGACAAAATGAGGAACAGAAGATAATGACTGTCTGACTTCTGAATGACCATCTTATTCTCTTAGATAATAGTTTAAAAGCAATATTTAAAATCAAGTTAGGCACAAGCGTTGCACAAACTAGTTAATATCTTCCTTTACAAATATTTATTGTTTTTAACCAGTATTTATAGTCGGCCGGTATAAGTCCACCGCTAAACGCGCTTTCCGTACTAGGAGGCAAATAAATTTTCCAAGATAATGTGACAAACGATGGTGGCTCTAAGGAGATTAAACACAGTGGAAAAACTTTCTCTTGCAAGTGTCAAGTCCTCACCACGTCGTTTGCTCATAATCTGGTATACTTTTAATCTCGTACACGATTAAGGTATACCTGAACCCTTTGCAAATAACAGGGCACGACAAATAACCCTGTCACCACATGACGTGACGATTTAAATGGAAATTTCACAAGAGCACGTTACAAAAAAAAATGTATACAGCAAGTTTAAATTAAAGCAAAAATACTGTAATTGCAAAACAACTTTGTGTTTTTATCAGTGCCTTTTTTTAATTACTTTTTTTTTACAAACGACTATTCTCTTATTCGGGGGATTTTTTAATTTAAGTGATTATCGCGTTTGCATTTTTAATTCGTTAGCCCTTTATTTGCGCATACCGTGCTAATTGTTAGCTTAAGAATGATTTTACATGTTCATAAAATGTCAGTTTGATGTTTCAACTCGTTAGTAAAATATTTTACCTACAGTACCTAGGACACAATTGGAAGAGGGAATTGAGTTATACTTTATTTTTAATACTTTTTACGTTTTCCCAGACCATACGTTGGAATGTAACCGGAAATACCCTAAAATATCCGATATTAATAAATCTTTTGGATTTTATACATAGGTAGTAAGTATTAAATTCCTCAGCCTGTCGTTAGCGCTAAAGATGACAACATTGTTGCCGGAATACGGCGTATTCGCGGAGAGTATATAATTTTTAATGGTTAAAGGATTTAAATATTATTTCAGTATTACAACAATATGTCCTTTTTTATTTGCATGCTTGTAAAATTATTCAAATTGTTACGTTTTATAATTTGTTGAAGTAAAATGTCTTTAAAATTATATTTAAAATACACTAAAATACAAAGTATAGAAAAATGTTCGTACAATCAATTTTTATTTAAAGAGAAGCTAAAATTTACATTCATAATATAGCACATAGATTAATTCGATTTGCCAAAATAAAAAAATGTAATAAGGTCTAACAAAAGGAAATTATGTACATTTTAATGACGACGAAATCCGAAACGATAATTGCAGAAGTTATCAACGGGAAACATTTATGTAAATTAATCATGAAGATGGCAAAAAAGTTTCCGTTTCTGATAAAATATGAACTTTTTACTTCTTTTAATTTATGTAAATTATAAATCAGATCATTTTATTCTCCAGCAGTAGTTTCCAATATATTGTATAATTGAATTAAGCGTCGACGCTCATTGTGTGACGTATAGACAAGGGACGGAAGTTCATTACATTGCCGAGTTCATTACTGTTGCTTACTAAAATAATTTTGTACGGTGCTAAGAACATTTGATGGAGCCACTTAGTCGACGGATGATTAAATTAAGTAATTACAGTGCTAGCGGCATTGACACAAGAATCAACGGGATTTGTGTACATTCGGTTTCCCTTTGAACGACTTCCGGAATACTAAAACCGTATTTAATTAACGAGTAACGAAAGCAGCCTTTGACGTTCTCTGAAAACGTTTTAGCAGTGAACGTACAGGAAAGTAATCGAGCAAATGTATCTTTGAATACAGCTGTTTCAGTGCAAAACGTTGAATACAAAATCATCAAATATATTTGTGCATTACTCAAGCGTGTTCCTACTATTTATAGACTATTACATATGAATTATTTAGAAGAAAAAAATCTCATACCCTAAAGCTAAGATAATTTTTCAATTTAGTAGGATATGTGGACTGAAAATAAATAATTTGACCCAAAGGTACGATACTATATCAAATAAAGAGATATATAACGCCTTTGGAGAATCAAACATAACTGGGGTAATTCGAGCCAAAAGATTAAACTGGCTAGGCCACGTACTAAGGTCTGACATGATCACAAAAGTAGTCCTGAATTGGAAACTACAGGGGTAAAGACCCTTAGGTTACCTAAGCAACGATGGTCTAAAGTCGCAAAGGACCTAGGAATACTAGGAGTGAGCGGTAGCGAT